TGCTTAGCCGTACATGTTCATATCCTTGAAGATGTATCATGGAAGTGTTGCAGCCTAGAAGATACAAATTTAACTAACAATTTAAAAGTGCATGAGTCAAAAATTGAAAAGCAATAATATTCTGAGTAGAGGTTCTAATAGTGGCACAAATCAAGTTACAGAGGTAAGGTGGTTCCATTGCCATCCTTACTCTAACTTAATTCTTTTTTTTAAATTTAAATTTGTTATTAATTTCAGTGAAAATTTACAGAGGCTTTGGATTTCCATTCCTGTCATTGATTAATTTCCAGTTCATGACACCCCTCCATCGGGTTTCCAAGACTGTCAACCTTTATAGAGACTGCCTCATCAGATTACTGATCTTGCCATCAGTGCTTAACTTGCTGTACCACCAGGACTTCTTAGGTGACTTATATGAACTTTTGGGATCTGGAAGTTTGAATCTGGGCCATCCACACGATCAAACTCTCTACAAAGTCTTTTGGGAAAGAACCTGTCTCACCTCCCCTATCCTATTGTATCCCCAGATGGTCTTCAACTTGTATTGACAGTGTAACTCCACCTCTGCCTCCATGTTCACATGGCTGCCTTGCCCCTGTATCTCTGCCTCTTTTCTCTTTAATAGAGACACACTCAGATTGCATCAGGACCCTGTATGCAGGATGACCTCATATTAACTGAAAATATCTTTATAGATCCTAATTCCAAACAGTCACGTTCACTAAACACAGAAGTTAGGACATTATCATGTCCTACTGAGGAGCAATTCAATCTCTAGGTGTGGTCTTACTCCCATTTTTCTGGTAAAGGTATCATTGGTGTGTTTCTCCTTAGCCCAGTGCATTAAATGTGTTACATATGTTCCCCATGCCCTGGCCTGGAAGGAAGAAGGCGTGAGAAGAAGAGCAGTGGGGGAAGGAGGTGCAGGTAGGAGACAAAGTGGAGTGAGAGCAGAGGCCCAGGCATGCCAGTATCCCGCCAGGATCTGGCTCCATCCCGTGACTGCAGCTGGCCAGGAAGCAGCTCCCTCAGGAGATGCTGGGAGATGTGATCCAAGTTGCTATATCTGCGGTTTGAAGCTTGGGAAGAGACTAGAAAAATAGGTTTGACCCAACTGGCCAATTAAACTTTTTCCATTGGTGGAGATTGAATTAAGAGTTTGGGATCTTTTGTGGTTTTTTGGTGTTTTAGGGTATTTTTGGGTTTTTTTAGTGAAATCTTTCCATTTGTGTAGTTTGGTTTTTAATGAAGTTAAATATTTACTGGCACAGACTCCAAAGAGCAAGAAGAGAATGATTAATTAAACTCTGTAGTATGGTTTTGGGGAGAGAGCCTCAGTACCAGAACAAAGCCTTAGGATGTGCTCTCTGAAGGCTGTAGGCCCAGAAGGGCCCGCCCCACCTCCTGTGGTCCAGCCTTTCCATTTGTCTTTCCTCAGATCCTAGTGAGGGCAGTGACTGCAGTGTCAGAATCATTGTGAAACAAGAATTTTACTAAAATATGTGGCAAAGTGAATGCTTTCGAGAAGCCCGATCCTTCCATGTGATTAGACTTCCTTCCCTGCCTTTCTAAGAGGGTTGGCATGTGGAGGCTACGCTCACTCATGCCAGCACTTCGCAGCCAGGACCCATGGGGCCAGATGCTCTGTAGAATCAGACTTTTTTTAAAAAAAATCTGTGTAGCATGTACACCATATGTTACAAAGCCCGCCAGGAGAGTCAGAAGCCCACTCTGTGATCAAACACATCGATCCTTCCACCATACACATCAGTAAATAAAAACAATATAAATAGCCTCCCGTCAGTTCAGGTTGTGATTTGTGATCGTGTGAGATCACGTCAGATCAGTTTGCTGGTGCATGAGCTACGTGAACTTGCACTTTCCAAGATGTTGCATTTGAGGGTGGCCAATAGGGAAATCTGGAGATGGCTCTTGCCCTGCATATTCCGAGCACAGCAGGAAAGTCTGCTTCCCCCCCCCCCCATTCTCCAGCAGCTCCAACTCCCTCCCCTGGCTCACAGCTTTCTGCTCCGATGCAGTTTTCAAGTGAGTTTTCTGTCTTTGAAGGAGGAGGATTTAAGCTAATTAGACAGTGATGGTTCTCACCTCTGACACCAGCTAATGGCAGACACCAGTAGAACTTTGCCTCGACTGAGGTTCTTTTACAGATCGCTAGTGGTGCAGTGACTAAAGTGCTCAGCTGCTACCAAAAAAATGGTGTTATGAACCTACCTGCGTCTGTGGGAGGAAGTCACAGCAGTCTGCTCCTGCTGGTTACAACCTTGAAACCCGATAGGGTGGTTCTGCTTTGTCCCATAGGGTTGCTATGAGGCACAGTTGATTCTGGCAGGGTTTTTTATCTTTATTTTTTTGTTTGGTATTAGACTATTATGTTTGGCTTTGTTTGGTGTTTTATTTTTGTTATTTGGGGATAACTAAATTACAGACCTAACAGTGTGTACAAAGTTAATGAGATGAAGCTTTGCTGTTCTTGCCTCTTAAGGAACACTCTGGCTGCACTTTTTCTAAGACATGTCTCTTTGTTCTTTTGGCAGTCCATGGAATATTCCATATTCATGTTAAGAGGGATTATTCCTTTGAAAGGGACACCATGTTTGGAAAAGTGGAGGGTCAGTAAAAGAGAGGCAGACCCCTCATTGGGATAGATTGACATGATGCCTGCAGCAGTGTGCTCGAGTGTGTTAGAGACGATGAGGATGGCACGGGATACAAGAGGGTTCAGGTCTGTTGTTCACAGGATTGCTATGATTTGTACACACCTCGATGGCACCTAACAACAGGAAGTTGAAAACCTAGTTCAACATAGTAGAAATAATAAGTAAATTTTATCTCAAGAAATTATAGTAGCAGAGAATAAGAGTTATAAAAAACGTTTGGACAGATATAATGTTTATGATTTGACAGTCAGGAGGGACCAGCTTCAAAATGAACAACATACAAGAGACAGGAGATCCACACGTCTGAGTGTTCTTGACCAGGCTCCTCTGACCATCTTTACAGAAGGTTCTAACTGGCAAGTTCCCACCTTCTTCAGTAGTAAAGGGAGTTCCAGGCAGCAGAGCCCCGGGGATGTAGGTAGTTATGTTCTGGGCTATTAACTGAAAGTTTGGCGATTTGAATCTACTGGCTACTGGGAGGGAAAAAGATGAGCAGTCTCCTTTTATAAATATTAAAGCCTCAACAATCCACTGGATAGTCACTGAGTCACAGCCAACTCTATAGAGATGCATTTGGTTTTGGTTTTTCATTACAAACAATGGTTATTCACTGGTGCGAAGACCCTGGTTCAATTCCCAAACAACATACCCCATCTACAGCCACTGCAATCTTACGCGTTGCTATGATACCAGATAAGTTTCAGCAGAGCTTCCAGACTAGGACTGACTAGATCTAAAGGCCTAGTAATCTACTTCCCAAAACCAGCCATTAAAAGCCTGTGACTTACAGTGGTACAATCCACAGTGGGTCACAAGGATGTGGCAGGTCCAGGCAGCACGTTCTTCTGCTTAGCACATGGTCTCAAATGAGCTGCCAGTTCAACAACAGCTAACAGCTACACATACATAGACTATGTTCTCCTAATGGCTTATAGACCAGAGAAATAGGAGAGGTGGCAATCCAGGCTTATAGATGGCTTCAAGTCAGGTTCTTACTTTTGTAAATGACCAGGTAAGTAGTGGAGAGGATTTCAGACCCCAGGATTAGAGCCAGTAGTGAAAACGTACAAGGACTTATGGGAGGCCTGGCAGAAAGGGATGTGGCAAAAAGGGGAAAGGCAATGAGAGACTCGGGCCTGGCAGGGTTGAGAAGGAGTCAGGGCATGTGCCTCACAGCCAGTGCAGTATTTCCTTTACTGTCAAGAAGGTTGCTCTGTGGGAGGCTGCAATCTTTAAAGGGTTAGCAGACTCCCCAAATGTCTTTTGTTCGTGCTTCCCAGCCTGATGTTTTAATTTGAGGCCACTCCTGCAGAAGATCAGGCAGGCCTCAAATGATGGATTGCCTGGTAGAGGTCATCAGTGAACAGGCGCCTGCGACAGCCTGTCTCCCCGTCAGAGTCACTGAGCCTCGGTTCACTGCAGGGTCACCGGGACAGCCTCTGCCCAGCCACGGTGCCATGATGGCAGCCCTCGGACAGTGGGGCGCCAGGAGCTTGCCCAGACATGAGAGAAACTAATTTATGAAAGTCGCAAACGGCACTTGCAGATGCTGCAAGGAGGCAGAGGAGTGCTCCTTTCATCCCGCACATTTGCGAGTGTGCAAACTGTGCTCAGCTATATTTTTATCAGCGTAATCGATGTATCGTTTACATACATTAAAACTCACTGATTTTTATTCTGTTCAAGCACTCACCAATTCAATGAGTTTTGACAAACATAAACAGTCCCAGAAGAGGGGTTGGCATACTAGAGCCTGTGGGTCACAGCCAACTCCCAGACTGTTTTTATTTCATACTTTAAAAAAAGTAAAAAAGAAAAAATATGTGGCTGAGGCTATGTGTGGTCTACAAAACCTCAAATATTTACTCTCTGGCCCTTTTCAGAGAAAGCCTGCCGACCCCTGATTTAGAATGTTTCCCTCACCCCTCTGCATTCTCTTCCCTCGCCCTTCCTAGGCCATCAGTTCCCTTCTTTGCCCCATCCCTTGGTAACCCCTGGTTTGCTTTTCTATCACTGTTGTTTCTGCTTTTTCTAGACTTTTCTGCAAATTAAAACATGCAGAATGTTGCCTTGTGTGCCTGGTTTCTTTCACTGCTAATGCTCTGAGATGCATCACTCACATTGTTCTGTGTTTATATCATTTCTGTATTTCGTTTCTGAAATGTATGGTGCCCCTTTGAAGGTAGGATTCGAGTCCTAGGTGGGGTGAGGGCCCTCGACATGTCTTAACCATCTGCAGACTCAGGTGCGAAGAATGGGGAGCTTAGGGCCAGCTGTCAGGGCCTCGGGTGGTGTCCACTCTCACGGTCCATGTTTTCACAGGCATGAACAACCGGGAGGTGCTGGAGCAGGTGGAGCGTGGCTACAGGATGCCCTGTCCACAGGACTGCCCCATCTCTCTCCACGAGCTCATGATCCACTGCTGGAAAAAGGACCCCGAAGAGCGCCCCACTTTTGAGTACTTGCAGGGCTTCCTGGAAGACTACTTTACCGCCACAGAGCCCCAGTACCAACCAGGCGAAAACCTGTGAGGCCTGGGCCTGCAGAGAGGCCTGAGCAAGAGGCTTCCCCACCCCCTCCCCATTAGCTTCCAATTCCGTAGCCAGCTGCCCTGAGGGAGCAGCCAGAACCGTCCAGGATCAGATTGCATGTGACTCTGAAGCTGACGAACTTCCACGGCCCTCATTAATGACACTTGTCCCCAAATCCGAACCTCCTCTGTGAAGCATACGAGACAGAACCTTGTTATTTCTCAGACTTTGGAAAATGCATTGTATCGATGTTATGTATAAGGCCAAACCTCTCTGTTCATTGTAAATAGTTACTCCAGTGCCAACCACCCTAGTGCTTTCCTTTTTTTAAAATGCAAATCCTATGTGATTTTAACTCTGTCTTCACCTGATTCAACTAAAAAAAAAAAAAGTATTATTTTCCAAAAGTGGCCTCTTTGTCTAAAACAATAAAATTTTTTTTCATGTTTTAACAAAAATCAATCAGGACAGGTGTTTGGTTTTTGGTTGGGTTTTTTTTCTTTTGCTTTTTTATACATATGAATCTATATATAATATATACATCCCCTGTATATACACCATGTGGGTGCTAATGTGAAGACTGTGGCCAGCCTAGGCCACCAAACTGTAGGAACCTGACTAAGGATTTCACTGCAGAATAAGCCTACACCGCGCTGGCAATTCATTCTGAAAACCAGTGGTCTCATCTTTGGCTATTGCCAAGCATGATTCTTTTTTAAAAAATTTGGACTGCACTTTTTTTGATTCATGACTGTACCCACAGACGGTCCTAACTTTGACTCTTTTCAGAATTCCCAAGCTTCATTCACAAGCTCTGACTCCCATGTCTGCCTCAGCTGTGATTTGTTCTCCAAACTTAAAAGGGAGCCTCTGTAAGCAAACGGGCAACGCTCCCCTCCCAGGGAACTGGAAGATGGCTACCACACAAGCTTCGTGTATAAAAATATGAATGCTGAAATGTTTCCAACTTTTTTTATTATTTAATAAATGTTGTAACCACATTTCAATGGTCAAAAGCCCATAGCAATGTAGTTAAGACAACCTGCTAACCTTCCTCATGCAACTAGAATTTTGGGGGAAGGTGGGGGTGGGAGGGTTGTACATTTCCCATTGTAAAATAAGTGTTTTAAATGTCCTGTACTGCTAATGAAATGACTTTCTATATGTCCAAGAGCTCTCCAGTGGAATAACTATGCACTACTTTACATTTCATTGGGATGCACAAAAAAAAAAAAGTATTACATTTTTAGTTGCTGTTTGTACCAACCTTGAATTACATGTGTTTAACAACAACGAATCAAACATCCTATTTCTATTGAGTTTTTAATACTGAGTCACAACTCTGAAGTCTTAATTCCATTTTTGTTATGATTTACATGTGAGTTTACATTTTTAAATTGTTTAACTTTCTTAATTTAGTAATTAAAAAATAGAGCATTTTACATTTGACATTTTTTGTTCATTTGTTAAATCACGGAAGTGCCCTAGTGCTTCTGTAACATGTCTGCCCCTTGCCAGATGGCAAGGAGTCACCTGGTGGATTTAGCCAGTGTGTAATGATTTCTAAATGACAGGAATACTCAGAACATCTGGAATGGCCATGGTCTTTTCCTGCTCCTCCTTCCTCCAGAAAGGTTAGATTATCTAGCTGATTCAGAGGATCGTTAAAGCAAAACTGAGCATAGCTTCAAATTTTAATTTATCAGAAACTTTAACTGGAATTTACAGTGATTCACTTGTAGAAGGAATAGACAGTTTCAAGAAACATCTCTCTTTTTTTTTTTCTTCCTAAAACCAGTATTTCTCTTTCATTAAAGCTGTGGTGGAACAGTGGTTAAGTATTCGGCTACAATCCGAAAGGTCAGCAGTTCAAACCTACCAGCAACTTCTCGGGAGAAAAGCTCTGCACCCTTGGAAATGCTATAGCACAGGTCTGCTCTGTCCTTTAGGGTTACTATGAAGAGGCCCAGTATCTCTTACAGAGATTAGGGATTGGACAAGATTTGCTGGTAGGCCTTTCCAGTGCTGAGCTGATTCTATGTTTCAAAGATCACTGGTGTTATATGTAGTTGGACAGTTTTCTTGCAGGAATAACCTTTACATGGAGAAAGGATTTCCGGGGTTTTTTATAATTGAAGTAGGGATTTTCATGTCAACTGAGTCTTTGCAATATTGCTTTTGGTGTTAATACCGTTGATATAAAATGTTAAAGATCTTAATCTGTATGATTATTGTGATACTTTTGGTCACACTGTTAACACATTCTAGATAGTTTAAAAGATAATTTTGTTTTTAGTATTTACATCCCACTAGGTTGGATAATTTGTACATATTCTCTAGAGGATTCTTGTTTATGTTTTTTACTCATTCAGACAAAAAAAAATCTGAACAAAAGGAGAGCCTGTTTTAAACATTCTTCCAGGGGGGAAAAAAAAGGTATCTCTTCCTATCCTTTAATTCAGCAATTGAATGTATTGGGAATTCTCACGGGTGAAGCAAGACTGAAATTATTTCAGTCAACCCAGGGGAAGTACAGCCCATTGGAACTGTTAGGAGATACGAAGAGCAAGGCCCTAGAATACAACTCAGAATTCTGAGAACTCAGAAATGGGGGGAGGGGGGTTCTTTCAGAAAGTGAATGTACTCATGAGGTAGAACAATATATCCCAGGTAAACAATACTACAGCCAGGCCTCTAGGGAGTATTCACATCTTCCAGGAAATCTCAGTCACTCACACATTATAGGTTTAAAGTGAGAAAATGGAATCTCCTAACTTTTCATATAGTCCTTTTGGTTTAAGGTTTTTGGGGGGGTTATCTTGAAAGATACCTTAGTGGAGAGTGACAGTGAGGTATATTATGTCTTTATGAACCCAATAGTGAACATACTGTCTGCTCATGAGTGCTGGCGTCCCGCACTGCTGTGCTTCTCAGGGAACTTTTGAAATAAACTTTTTACTTAAAGTCAAATTTGAAAAAATTGGCGAATTCAACAAAGCTCAGGCACTGACAAAATGATCCCTTTTGCCGCATTCACACTGCATTCACACCCTCCTCACTTGCTCCTCTGGTGCCTTGTTCCCTGGGCTCAGATGCCCTGGGCGGATCTGAGGGCCTTCGTGGAGCTTGGATGGAAGAGTACCAACCACCCTGCAGATTAGGGCCGGTGGCTCTGTTCTGGCCCTGGCGTAGACAGGTGTGTGGGGTGCCCGGCGTTTCCTGGTTGGAGGGTCACCATTTTGCAGACTTGTCAATGTCGAACAAAAGCCTTCCCCGCTGCCTGCAGAAGAGTGATGCTAACTTCTAATCTCAAGCTCAGTTTTTCCACGGGACAACTTAGAGGTAAGAGTGTGCAGCTCCCTCCCATACAACCCCCATTCTAAAAGTGTGTGTTTACCTGCTTTGAGGAAGACAGGAATCCTCCTGGGACTACACCTTGCCGCCAGAGCATTTTAACAAGCTTCGGAAGTACAAAATTTTATCTACCATTTCCTATGAGACCCTAAGAATTTAGACCATATTAATTGGCATGCTTCTTTCATTATTCTAGAAAGAAGGAAAGTTTTCAGAAGCATCAAAAAAATTATACGGAAGCCCACCACTGAGGAAATGTATTCCATTTGTTAGAACAAGAAAACCTCATTTGGCAAGATAGATCATTTCTAAAGAATTGAATTTAAATAAACGGTTGTTTGGTCAGTTTGTGCTTGAGAGATTTTGCTTGCTTTTGTTCATTTTCATGCCACTATATGCCAAGCTATTTGCAAGAAAAAAAAGAAAATGTAGGAATGAAAAAAGAAGAGGGAGAGGAGAAAATGTTGATTGATACGAGGTTGTGTAAATACGATATTGTGAGTAAAAACTACCCAAGCAGCTGCTGATTACATATGCTTTTTATTCTCAAAATTAGATTATAACTGAATAGACAAAAATAAAAGTAAATATCCTTAATGGTTTTGAAATATCAAACAGATCTTCATAAGTTATTATATATATCTATATGTTATTATATATCATAAGTTTTTTATACACACACACATATTTGGAGGCAGGAGTAGCATCTACTTCCAAAACAACATCCGTCTGGGAGCTCTATGAACTTTGAGAAATTACAATAGTTACAGAAAGTCTTCAGGCCTTTTGTTCATAGAGTTGTTATGAGTCATGCTCAACTCAACATCAATCAACAATGTTTTATATTTATATAAATGATAATTTATCTTGAAAACTAACATAGTTTTCACAATAAATTCCTATTCTTCGTCCTATTTCAATATGGAAAACATTTCTAATCCTTTGAGGAGGAAATAGACCTTTCTTTTTTGAAATCATTTTGAAGGCTGAAAATAAGTCGTTTTCTGTGTGGCAGTGACTTATCTAAAGAGCATGTAGCCAGTGCTCAGTGGCGGCTTCCCCAGCAGCCAGAGCACAGTGTGCTTCTCCCAGAGGTGTCTCAAACTCATCCAACACTACTGTATGTTCAGTGATACTACTCTTTTCACAGTGTGTTTTCCTTGCCAGATTGTGTGCTCATTGAGAACAGAAGCTGCCTCATGTGTCCACCATTATTTTCTCAGCCCTTAGAACAAATGATGTGCTTATGTAGAGGCTGAATGGCTACATGATGGTCCTCTCCACCCATTGGAATGAAAGATTTTAAAGACCTGAGTCTGAACACAAAGGATCTGTTCCTGTAGCATGCATCGTACCCACTCTGCATGTGTGGTCATCACACTGAGATGTATGACGTGAAAGCTGGAAGTGTGCAGCATTAGAACGCTCTTAAAAGATTAGACCTATCCCCAAAGCTCCCTAACTCTCATCTCACCACTGGAGGAGGTGTGAACTTGCACCCCTCGGGACCTGGAGGCAGCATGGAGCAAATGGCACGAAGTGGCACACAGTCATAAAGAAAATGCCTTTGAGGTCTCATTTTAACTTTCTAACTGTGTGAAAAGTTGATACTTTCCACAAATCTAGAATCCTTTTCCCAGATTCAAGTCGTGCATTGTTAACCAAGTATGGCTTCCAGTAGTATCCCCAGTCACCTCCCTCTGCATGCCTAAGTAGGCCTTGTGCTGAGTATGATCAGCAAAGCATGCTGATGTTATCTGTGGGACGTTACTGCCAATATTGTGTTTAAGAGAGATAGTACTAGGCCCCATTAATGTGTATTCATTTGTCTCATTTCCCCTTTTTTTTCCCACTCAGAAAAGAACAATTCCCTGACTGAACAGTTCCTTGACTGGACAAATATGTTTGACGGCAGTAACATAAATAAAACATCCCAAATCACCAGAAGTGAAGATCTGGTCAAGTTGGCTACATTGGCCTGTTTGTCCAAGGTGGGAAGCACATGAAAACAGAAAGGATGAGTACAGTGAACAAAGAAGAATTCAAAGCTAAAATAAAAGAAGTCCTTCGCTCTGGCTATTCAAGGTGATGGAATGAAGGTGAAGATGGCATTGGATCTGTGTAGAGAGTTAACTGTTCATTCCTAACCCAACATGTGTAGCATATTTACAGACTAGACCCCATGTTTAGCCTTAGAAATTCAAAGAGGCAATTTAGTATTCATTGTTCAAAGAGGATGGAGACCCCTAAGAGACAGATATAAGTGCACTGCTTGACGAAAAAGCAGGTGGCACCTAGCGGAGGAGCAAGGGAGGGGGGCCATTCTAGAAACTGTTTTGTCAGAACTCAGTCTTATATTCAAGGGAAGTAGATTATGTATTGCTTAATGGCAAGGGCCCAGTGTTATAAAGAAACACTAACAAAAAAAAACATTTAGTTCTTGCCATTGTTAGTGTTTCTTTATGCTTCCCAGTCCTCACTAGAGGCTCACTTATGCTTTAAATACAGAAGGTGCTGAGCAAATGTGTGCAAATAAAGAGAAAACAAAACTATTTCCCAAAAAAAAGTCAATTTCACTCTTTGCTACATCTTCTCCCTCTTCCATTTCCATATAAACACACACATAGTAAAAGGTATACTCAGTCTTTGCCACTGAATCAGAACCAACTCATGGCTGACCCTCCAGTGGGCTTTCAGAGGCTGTACATCCCTGAGAGGAGATTTTCTCACATCTTCCTTCCACAGAGCAGCTGGTGGATTTGAACTACTTGTCTTCAGGTTGGCAGAACAGCTCCATACTGACCAGGGAGCTCCCTAACAAGTCATATAGCTAAGACATATATAACTACATCATTTGTTCTGATTGGTGGACCAGCAAATGCAGGAGGTGGGAGATAATGTACAAGGAAAGAGTAAGATTTTGGGCAAGTTGTTGGTTGTAATGTCTCAGCTGACATGTAGTCAGAAAATATTTATAGAGTGTGATCATAAAAGAATTATTAGGGAAAACTTGTGATAATTCATCTCAGTGTTTTCTATTAACAAGTAGTAGGGGTATTTACTCCCATTTATGAATCTGTTTTCAGTCTTTCATC